GTTGTTTTGTTTTTATTGTAGCACTTAACCCAATAGATTCAAAGCGGAGAGCAGAAAGTTGGAAGCGAAATCGACGAGCATTGGTAAGTTGTTTATATTTACCTCAATTTACTGGTGTTGATATCTATTATTTATGAATCCTTACAAAAAGACACACAGACACACACATCTGAATCATTCTCTACAAATGCATCATTTTACTATTTAAGAGGGTTATCTATTGTTTATTTCTTAAGTATGCCTGATTTCATTTTTTTTAAAGTTTCAACTTCATTAAAGTCAGAACAAATGAAAGAGCGGAAAGAATTCTTAAACTAAAAATTATTTACAAAATCACAAAGAGTGAAGGGGTAGGGGTGTTGAATGTAAAAGTTAGAATAGGGAAAACAAAAAAAAGTCATTGTAATAGTTATGTAAAGTTTTAATTTATTATAAGTTTTATTAACCTCTACATAAGTGAAAAGAAATGGAGACTCCAAGCTGTATTCCCTTCTAAGAATTTTGCCAATTAACAGGAATAATAATAGGAAAGAGTAACAAATATATAGAGAATAGTATAAATTTTACCTTTTACAGTTGACCTGTGAACTTAGGGTGGGGTGCATGGCATCCAATAAGAATAGAGAAATACTTATAAACTCAAATGGAACCAAGTGTTTCCTTTTCCTTTTGTCTAAGGGTGAGTTGGGTCTTAATGCTTGATATTAAACTGATTACATAATTTTCAATGCTAATCCAAGAGGACTCTTTGCTACATTATTAACAGACTGTGATATCCTTAGGTTGTGTGAATATTCTATTGTCATTAGTAGAAATCTGCAAATTAACAAAGCCCCCCACCTCTCTCCAGAAAAAAAAAAGAAAAATGAAGAGAAAGTGATAAATATTTTTTTTTTTTTTCCAAAAAAATGAATCCTCACTCCATCTAGCCTCAAAAAAAAAAAATTGGTATTTTCTTTCACACAGGAAAGAAAACTGAAAAAGATAAGTTTGGGAGTGAGGTTGAGACTATTATATATATATATATATATATATATATATATATATATATATATATATATACACACACACAGTAGGTCCCTATCTTAAATGGTCAGTTGGTTCTTCAACAGTTCATGGTATTTAAGAACTGCATATATTCAAAGCTCTTATATAAAAGTCCCTATGAACATGAATATTTTGCAGGAGGCGTAATGCCAGGCTCTCTGCAAGTTGAATGGCCCAAAATGTTGGCTAAAAAATAAATCCATTATTTCGAAATATTATATATAATGTTCTTCAAACATTATTTTTAGTGGATGCCTGTTTGAAATAGATGTTCCATTAAAGAAAACTAAATAAATAAAAAAAAACAAGGCATCTATTTCAAACACTAACGTTTGCTAAATATAATGTTTAAAGTCATAAAAATGTTAGATTGAAAATAAATCCATTAATTCTTTAAGAACTACAGATACAAAATTGAGCAGATATGAGATTTTGAGAAAATTTGAAGAAAGAAGCTGTGCATTCCTTAAAAGGGCAAGTAGAACCTTGCTGGGCTGTGACACTCTTTGTGACCTGTGACCAAGTGGTCTAAAGCAGGGACCTCCACTAAATTTTTGATACCTAAGGATTAAAATGATTTTTTAAAAATGAAAAAGCATTCATGAAGCTTTCTTTTTAGTTTTAATTGAAAACTAAATTTACTATTTCCAGTAAGCAAAATACTGTGGGGTATTTCAAATAGAAATTATATTGATTGGAAATTCAACTTTTTGATTGCTTTCAGAAAATCAATAAAAATTGATGAAGATCAGCCATTTTGACACATTTGTAAACAAAAGTTAATTTTCACTTTTAAAAATCTTCCCAAAATGAAATATATATTTGTGGTACATTATTTGAGGAAAATTAGCAAATTTAAAGTTAAATTAATCTGATATGAAATAAATATTACTTACTTATAGCATAGACCATAGTATACAAGCATTTCTTAACCACAGGGTCTTGTTTTTTTGACATGGTGATTGTTTTATTGGCAGCCTAAGGTGTTGACAGCTAATTATGGTTGACTAGAAATTGACAAATTTACAAAATCTAAGTTCTTTGTTTTTGGTTTTTAACGACCAATTAATTTTTAAGAATTAACATTTTCAGCAATTATCTAATATTTTATGGAATTTTAGTTAATTTAGCTTTTATAGCATCTCACAAAAAAGAATAAACTTAAAAAAAAAAAGAAGAGTAAAAACTAGTAACAAAAAAATTACTTAATTAAAGTATGACCCACACTAAAATAAATACATAAAATAAAAATATTTAGTGAAATAGAAATTAAGAAAATGTAAAAATTACTTTAAATTTTAAAGTTTAAAATTTCGAAGGGATTTTTCAGAGAAGAAAACACTTAAAGTACATGACAGACATCCAGAGTTACGAAAATGGGAATGTTTCTACACTAAAAAAAAATTAAAAATCTATTTTAAAAATCTATTTCAAGCATGATACAAAGCAACATTTATTAAGCTTTTCAATTTTTGATTTGTAAATCTAGTTTTCACTTAATAACAATATCATCTAACCAGATTAAAGTAATGCAGCATTATTAAATGATTTAAATTATTGTAATTAAAATTTAAAGAAAATGAAAACGATTCTTGTAAAAATTCATTATTCATTGAAATTTTTTTCTTAAGACAATAATGTCCTTAATAAATCTTATTTATAAAATCAATTAAAAGATTTTCTAATTAAATAATATCCATTGTTTTATTGCAGTTTTTTTTATTTTATAATTTGGAGCAGATTTCTGAGAAATGTAGTAAAAAAAAAAAAAAAAGATTGATTCTACAAGTAGTCCTGCTTTTAACTACTAAAAACAATTTTGAGATTTAAATTTAATTTCTCGAAATTTCATGAAATTAAGATTGTAACATGTTTAAAAAAAAAAATTACCAAGATTTTCTAAAACAAAAAATTTCAAAATTAATTTCTATCATTTGTGAACAAGTCCTGGAAGTTTCATTAAAATCCAATAATTATTTGATTTTTGCAAGAATTTCTAAATCAAACTGTTTTTCACCTAGCAGGTGAGAAAGGCACTAAAACACTAATTGTAAATAGTACATCAACCACTGATGAATAAAAAAAAAAAAGATTTTTAACCAAAATTTTGAACATGCTAGAAAGAATTGAAAAATTTAATAAAATAATAAAAAAATACTTTGGTCTTTCCTCTTTTTTTTTTTTTTACAACAAACATTTTGACATTTTTTTTTAGTAACTAAGTGGAAGTGGCTAGTGTTAAATGACATTAGATAAAACAGTGGTTCTCCTACAAAGGGGACGCAGGTGTAAACCTTGCTGGAGAACGCATTTTAAGTTTTCTTGAATGTGCAGGCCAATAGATGTAATACAGGGTTTAAACAAAAAAAAAGAAAGTGGCATCTATTTCAAGCATGATTATCCACTCAAGAAGGATAAGCAGATTATGATATCTTGGGTGTATATTGCCATTTTTTTTTTTTTTCACATGCTTTGGTGGCAGGACAAATCATGGCTGCTTCAACATGACAATGCACCTGCCCACAATGACCTGAGCATCTGGCAGTTCCTAGCCAAGAAGAAACTTACCGTACAGGAACAACCTCCCTATTCACCTGATCTTGCTCTATGTAACATTTTTCATTTCTCTAAGCTCAAGTTGATCATCAATGGCACCTGTTTCAAGGTGTGGAGGCCATCAAAAGAGGCATCTAAGAAGAATCCTTCCAGCAGTGCATATAAAAAGTGTAGCCGAGAAGGATGGAAAAGTGCTTTACACTCAAGGGAGATTATTTTGAAGAGGAAAACATTTATTTTGTTGTTTGGAATTGAAATAAATTGTTTTTGACACCAGTCCCATTACTTTTCAAACAGACCTTATTTATATATATATATATATAATGTGTGTGTTTGTGTGCATGTATACACACACGTGGGCATGTGGCCAAATGGATAGCAATGCTAGCATGAAACCACAAGTCATCTTGGCTGAGGGCTAGAGCATGCTGGCCTTGTTCAAGTTGTTGAACATGCATGCTCTCTCCCAGAAGCTGCAACTAAGGTCTGCTCAGCATAGTTGCAGTATAAACCACAGGTGGGCTCTGTGGATGTTGAGCAAACATGAATGTGCTTGAGCGAGTGAATGCAATAGGGATTGGCTAGCTGCCCTAGTAGATGGGTATCCTTGAATATGAGTGGCCAGCTATTACACATACACACACACACCTCATAATTTTAGGTACAGGCCTATCTTCTTGAGAAAGTTTATGATGTCATTGGTATCACAGTTGAAGACTTGTTCTTGACAGTAGTGCCACCCCCTTATTACTTTCTTGAGATGATCTTGGAACATTTATGTTGCTTCTGTATTGGTATACACCCATTCTCCTGTGATCAGGAGGTTCTGATGCTTTATAAAGCTATAAAAGCATCTTTTGTAAGCTGTTAAACTTCTTATTTCTCTCTTCAATCCTCTCCCTAATATTCGTATAGGCTAAGTACATTTTCACACAAAATGTTTCTCTCAGCTGGGACATGCTTCTGTTCCATGTTTTCTACTCACACATTAAATACTTTCTCAGTCTTTACTTATAAACTTGAGACATTCTTTTCATCATACGCAAAATGTTTTTTCCTTGCCTTATTTCTCTGTTACTTGGCTATTCACACAGTTTCCCACTGATTCAAAACTTGCATCTGTGATTGGCACGTCTCACCATCTTCGACTTTTTATCATTGTTACTCGTACTTAGACTATCCAACTTTTTTTTTATCGAGCTGTTCCTATTACAAAGGAGAAACTGCACAATTAATGAATGCAGCAACAATATATAGCAAAATTAGGAATTATTTAATGTAAGGGAGAAAACTCAAGATGAAAGGATTGGTTTTCTCCCTCCACATTGGGTGATGGGTTTTCAAGCTTATTTTGAATTTTTAAAAAGTTAAACCATGTATATTCAAAAACGTACAAAATGCGAGTCTCTCCTCTCTCTTTCTTTTTTTTTTTTCTCTCTTTCTTTCTCTACCTGTCTTCTTTTCTCTCTTTCTCCCTTTTTCTCTCTTTCTCCCTTTTTCTCTCTTTTCTCCCTTTTTCTCTCTTTCTCCCTTTTTCTCTCTTTCTCCCTTTTTCTCTCTTTCTCCCTTTTTCTCTCTTTCTCCCTCTTTCTCTCTTTCTCCCTCTTTCTCTCTTTCTCCCTCTTTCTCTCCCTCTCTTTTCTCTTCTCTTCTCTCTTCTCTTTTTTTCTCTTCTCTTTTTTCTCTTCTCTTTTTTCTCTTCTCTTTTTTCTCTTCTCTTTTTTCTCTTCTCTTTTTTCTCTTCTCTTTTTTCTCTTCTCTTTTTTCTCTTCTCTTTTCTTTTCTCTTTTTCTCTTCTTTTTTCTCTTCTCTTTTCTCTTCTTTTTTCTCTTCTCTTTTTTCTCTTCTCTTTCTTTCTCTTCTCTCTTCTCTCTTCTCTCTTTCTCTTTTCTCTTCTCTCTTCTCTCTTTTCTCTTCTCTCTTTTCTCTTTTTCTCCCTCTTGCCAATGTTATATACATATGTAAAAAGTAGTAGTAATTTGTTCTGAAGAATAATACAGAACTAACAGTCAAGAACACAATCTACTGGAATAACGATTCTGTTCAACTTCCAGTCTCTCAGTAAGAGAGCATGCTATTTATCATTTTAGATCAGTCCATCTTGTGAGGGTGCTCTGGTACTCCACAATTTCCCCTTTTTTGAATTTATTACTTCTTCTAGAGGCTGTATTTTTGGTTTTGGGGGGGATTTATTTGTATAATCCATGACAATTTCCTTTTTCGTTTACTCAAACGTCTCTTGTCTGAGGCAACTAAAGACATTGATACCTCAAACAGGTCATAAATAACCTTCATTGACTCTTTCCTTTCAGTTATTCAAATTGTCAAGTACCTTTTCCTTATCTGGTTGTGATGTCTCTTAACCATATTTTTCGGGTCTTTAATCATGTACAGTAATTGAACTGTTACATGATATTTGTTGTCCTGTATGGCTGCGAATGCTGGACAATCTCTTCAGAGATGAAGAAGAAGACATTTGAATCAACAGAAATGTGGTTCTACAGAAAGATACTGAGGATACCATGGACCAACAATGAAATTTTTGAGAAAATGGAAACAAAAAGGAAATGTATAAACATCAGGAAGAGGCAGTTGAAAATTCTGGGGCACATAATGAGGAAGGAAGGCTTGGAAAATTGGATACTCACAGGACAAATTTGAAGGACTGAGGAAAGCAGGGCATAACATAGTTGATGAGCTTGAGTAAATGGATGGTAGAACAGGGTTTGGCAGAAATAACAATGAGATAAAACCTATTAAGAGCTACAATAGGCAGGAAGATGAGGAGGGCCATATAAAACAAGCAGCAGCTGAACCTAGTAATTTTTAATATCTAATTTCCTAAATGTTACCTTTCTTTTTCTTTTTTTTTTTTTTATTTTTATTTACTTATTTTTTTTTTTTTTTTTGCAATAAAAAATCTGTGAAAAGATCTATTGTGATAGTGTGTGAACAGATGGCAAAATGAGGTAGAAAGCTGTGGAGAGCCATAATCACCTATATCCTGAAGGGATGCAACACAGAAGAAGGCAAGAAAAAAATGACAGGGAAGACAGTTTTACTCTTTACAAAGGTCCCTTTTATTAGATCTGTATACGTATACAGGTCTAATAGAAGGGGCCTTCATGACAACTTTTTATTTTTCAAATGGAAGTTTTATAATAGAATAGTGTTGACTTATAGAAAAGAAAATGTTACTTAGTTTAAATAAATGCCAATGTATAACTGGTCAGTCAATTGATCTTATAAAAAAATGCTTGTGTTTTTCAGGCTTATTCGACTGTTGGCACTCCTGATTATATTGCTCCAGAAGTTTTCATACAGACTGGATACACAAGTAGCTGTGACTGGTGGTCATTAGGGGTGATTATGTATGAAATGTTAATTGGTAAGTCAGCAAGATTTCTAATCTGAATTTTTTTTTTTTTTTTTTTTCATTTGGTTTTTCAAGTTGGTAACCTTGTTATACTTGTTCTTTTAATATTTTCCCATTTCGCTCAATTAGGAATAAATAGGTTCACCTATCGCCTAGTTCACACTTCTTCACTGTTTTTGGACAGGAATAGAGGTTTATCCCTTGTTTCAGGTTCCTTCTGTTAAAGTCTTCGCATTTTTTTTTCAGCCATTAACCCCTTGTGTCTTAGTGGCATTATTGCCTTACTTGGGGTGAAATGATAAAAAAATTAAGAATTTTTCTTTTTTAAATTGTTAAAAGGAAAAAAAATTCAAAAGAAATCAAACATGAAAAACTATATAATAATAATAAAAAAATTTGTTAGCAACATGTTTTTGATTTAATAAATTTGCTTTTAATTAAATGGAGAAAATTAATTGGTTCTTTTGGGTTTTTTAAAACTGACTGGCTCACAATTTTTGTATTCATTTTTTAATATTTATGTTCAATTGAAAATTTTTTCTTTTTTGTTATGAATACAGTATTTTGAATGTTCTGAGTAAACTTTTGTTTAAATCTTGATTCTTATGCCTTTAAATCTGTTTTTTTTTTCTCTCTCTCTTTCCTTAGGTTATCCTCCATTTTGCTCGGAGAATCCACAAGAAACTTATAGAAAAGTAATGAATTGGCGAGAAACATTGGTCTTCCCTCCAGAAGTACCCATTTCTAATGAAGCCCAAGATTTAATACGAAAGTAAGTTTCTTTTAATGGCTCAAAGAAGCAATTCTTTTGTAATAACTTAAATTAAAGAACTTCTCATCAACCATGAATAAATGTGACCTAAAATTAAAATCTAATGCCTCCAACATATTTCTATATTTCCTTTTTCTATTTTATCCAATTAGAATTGAACCAGATTGGTTTACTCTTAAAGGCCCACAGAAACTAAAATTTTTTTTTTTTTTAATTTTGTTACTTTTTGGATTATTTTTTTAAAAATAAACTGGGTTACTCATAAGAAAATGGACTCAATATTGAATAGTACTGATCTTTCAAATTTGTTGCTTGTGGTCAATTCTAGCAACTGTGGTTACATTTAATGACTGCTGAACTTCATTGGTGATATAAAATAACACAAAGGTCAATCTAGAGCCTCTTGTTTAGTTTGACTTTATCAGTAGTTTATTTAAAGTTTTAATAATTTTTCTAACCCTAGACATTGCTGATTGTTCAAAGGTCTCTCTGGAAAGTATCTAGCCATTTTGAGTATCTTGAAAATTGTTTATACAGCCTTGATGTAAATTAGCAGCCACCCAGAGAGGACCTTACTGTGCATGCATGAACAGACACTCTCCTGTGCAGTTATTCAGTTGATACCATTGACTGTACCGTGAGACTATTGCATTTATAATGACCAAGTGAGTCTATCAGTGAAGTTTTTTTTGTCCAAACATATAACCCACTCGTACGCCAGTTTTTAAAATCTAAATTCAGCTCCTTGCTATGAGATGTCTGGCTATTGTTGTTGAGAAGGAAAGTTCAAATTGGACAGAATTAACAAGGAAGCAACAAGGCAGCCAATGGCAAGTTTGAAAGAAGATTTTGCTGATTATTTTGAAAAAAAATGGAAGGAATTTCCAAAGAGAGTAATTTAGAGAGGATTAAAGCAATAATGCCCTAGGGAGGCCATGATTATTATTATTATTATTATTGATATTAAATGACTGGATCATTTATGAGCCAATTTTGTATATACTTGGTACAATGATGTCCTTTTAATTGATTTTCAGAATATGCTGTGATCCGGAACATAGATGTGGTGCAAATGGTTTAGAGGACCTTAAAGCTCAGGTTTTCTTTAAAGGTGTGGATTGGGAACATATCAGGTGAGACAGAAATGGCTCTTACTTTGTCAGTTCCTTCTTGTTAATAACCTCTATTTAAAATCTGATACTAAGATACTTAAAATAGAGAATAAGCATAACTACCATGACTAAATCATCTGGCTGTTTTTTTTTTTTGTTAATTCTCGTTTAACTTGTCCTCAGAGAAAATTGAGGTATGGGGACATATGTAACTGTCTTGTGTTTATTATTAGATGGAGCATTGTCAGTTATTAAATCTTATTCTTTCATCATAATTTCAGTTGCTTTTTAAAAAAGAAATATTAATAAAAAAGTTTAATAAGATCTGTGCCTATAGAACTTCTTAAAATCTTTATAAGCAGCAGTAAAATTTAAGGGTTGAAATAAATAAAGTCATTAATCTCTTCCTAAGTGTTCATTTTACATTGGATGCGTGAAAGAGGCAATTCAAGAATTAGCATGTGATGTCACATCATCTCTTATCTACATCTACTGCAAATTCTGCAATAACATAATTCTCTCCAGATATCTCATCTTTTAGTGGCTGTATTTAATTCTGTTAGATCAAGATGTGCATGTTGTGTAGCAGTTATTAGCATGGAAAGTGGAATTGGTGTGTCAAGTTCAAATTCCAGCCAAATTTGTTGCATTCACTTTCATGCAAATATCCTTGGGAAGGGTATGGATACATCTGTTCTATCCCTCAAGCCATGGGTTAAATAACTGCACAAACTGAACTGTTTAACCTTGGTTGGTAACAAGTCTAAAAAGAGAAAAGCTTTTAATTCAAAACTGGTTAGGTGTGGGGCTAAAAGCTCCACCCTGTAAAAACTTATTACAGAAACCACAGCATTAACACCTAGTGTTGTTAGGCTGTGACCGTATATACTCCATAGGGGAGTTTAATAGCACTATGATAGAGGGTATCGAGACTCGACCATTCATGTACACTATCACACCATTGTTTTGATTACCTGTTTGTAGTTTTTTACCAAAAATCATCTCTTCTAAGCAGATTTTGGAGTGATCTGAGTTTGCAGATTTTGTGTCACCATCTAAGTTTAACACTAATGGACATGAGTCATGCATCCACCCTGACTGCTTAAAAGGATGCCATGCACGACACTCAACATTGTGAGTAGGCAGGCTGGCAAACATAGAAACTACCAGTGGCTTTGGTCAAATGACCTGACACAACATTCAATGTCACTCACAACTGACTCCACCATCCTTCAGGTTGCTTCCCTTGCCCATAAAGAGACATTCCACCTTGATCCTCTGTATCTGTAATACAAAGGATTTTATCTTATCAATTCTTTTCAATTAACCAGCAGTACTTTTTTTTTTGTTTACATGGTTTATAATAATAGGTATTAGCTTAGTTATTTTAAGATGCTCTTCAGTTTTGATTTGATCTGACAATCTATGGTTTCAATGTTTTTTTTTGTGCATAAAGATCAATTGACACTCCTAAGTTGGCATGAAAGAGTAGGAATAGCTTAACCTAAAGTTCATTGTTGTACAAGTCAATGTAACACATCAATGTCATTGTGGTCCAGTGAAATCAAAGTATGCAATCAAGTTATATGATTTATATATATGTGTGATTGCAAAGATTTGGTCATGAAGACCTAGAAGAGCAATCAGTTAGCCAGAGTTGATAGCAAGAGGGTCAGTACTGGCGAGTGACAGGTTGGTATCAGATTTTACTCATGTCTTCCATCTTTCATTCTTTCTCTAGCTAACAACTTTAACAAAGCAATCTCAACCAAAAATAATGTAGTTTTGATAAACTTATCTTAAGGCAAAGATTGTTGACCTTATAATAATGAAGTAGTTTTATAACACTTAACTCCCAGTTGATCCTGGATCAATTCCCATGCTGGTCTGTACTGCTGCTAATCAAAGATTGTTAAATACCAGCTGTCTTAGTCCACAACCTGCTCTGCCTGCATTGTGTTTCTTGATCACAGAGCTGTTTATGATCGACTATCATCAGCAATTGTAGCATTGGTTTAAACCATGGCAAAGCTGTGTTATGAAGGAAAAGATAGAAATGTTCTTTGCAGATAAAATAAACCAACAAAAAGTCCTACAGATCACTTTTCGATGAGGTTTATGTAGTTCTTTGTACAATAAAATTAACCCTTTCCACTGCAATCTCTATAGTGACACTTTGCTTATCAGTGCTAATTCGGGAATAAGGCTCAAGTCAGGAGTTCTCTTGGCAGCAAGTCATGTGGAATTCAGTAGCATTTTTGTCTGCGAGTTGCTACTTCACATCTCTCTGCTCTGGGTCCCTTATATGCTCTTCTTATATTGAGTTCAACTTAAGACGAGTGGGAGCTGATGATATTTGGGAATTTGGGGGTTCCTCAGGTTTCTGTATCAATTTGAACAAGAGTTCTTTGTTATCAGGTTTGCAATATTAATTATCACTCCAAATTTGGGAGATCCTTTCTTCCTATGGGTGGTGGTTGCAGGTATCGTCCTGCCAGTATAACTCATTCCTTCTTATTTATGCCTCTCACCATTACTTCCAAATGGGTGGAGCTAATTTCTCCTAAGAGAGATCTTAGTATCTCATTTAAGTCTGCAGCTCCGTCTGTCTCTTTGACAAATCTGTTTTTTTAAACTGTGTGGATGAAAAGGCAGTCTTAACTTTTAGTCATTAATTGTAATTATTTTAATTTTCATCAACAAATTTTCTCAAGCCCTGGTCTTGTTTATGCAAGCAGAGATTTCCAGCTACTTCCGTTGACCCGCTATTAGCAAAATCTTATCTGCTTGTTTAACAGCACTCATGCACCTCATAGCTTACCTCAATTTCTTTGAGTGCAGAATCAAATCCTATTTCTTGATTTATTTACATTTCCAAAATTGGCCCACTCTTTAACAGGTAGGCATAAATCAGTTTCTTGATTTTTGCCTTCGTCTTCATTATTACCAAGTATTATAACTTAATTGACCCTTTCTTCAGTCTGGTAATCATGAGACATGTTTTCATAAATTCCACTTTAAGTAGCAGATTATAACTCAATTTTTCATTTTCTGCTTTTGCTTTCAAAATTTTTAACCAAAGTTTTCCAACACATGGCTTCTGATAATATCTTTCTTAAAACCAACAAATTCATTCTGTTCAGGTCTGTCTTGTCTTCAAACTAGATTTTCAATGGGAAACGATTTTGTTTCTTCGTTCAGTTTATATGTCATTCCATACTTTAACACTCTTTGTCTGTTCCAGTTGCTATTTTATTTTAGCCCTTTTTACCCGTGTCAAAGTTTAATATGTTGTTGTTGTTGTTTCCAAAACCTATTTATTTATCAATGTTATAACTAACCTTTTCATTAGCTTACGTTTTATTAGATTAAACCGGAAATAGAATATCATAACTATATCTAGGCTGGAGATGCACAATCCTCACTTTCCAGCCTTGGTAGAGTTCAAAATTGTTTATGCAGTCTTGTTGGAGAAAACTTATTCTTCATTCAGCAGCTTTTTTCCCCACATATACAACTCTGTCACAATTTCCATGGCAAATGTTCAGATGAACTTTGTTCTTTAGTTCAACCTGTTCAGACTGTTACAACTAGATGTGCTACTTTCACAGAGTTGAATCAGCCTCATTTCCTCCATGTTCCAAATATAAGAAGAAAGTTCCAGTCATACAGCTTTATTGCCCCACCCGCAAGAACTGGGCACTTTGGGGAGCAGACTTCTGCCTGGCTGCTTCCTCTTCAAGTCAACAGTCAGTTATTGCCTATCTTCCTTATCATCATTACCATCACCACTTCCTATCTCATTCATTCGCATATCACATTCAGCATTGTTTTTCTTTTAATCATTTCACTGCAAGCAAAGCGATAATGCCACGAGGACACAGGGGGTTACAGGGAGTGAAAGAGAATGAGAAGACTTTTGTGAAGAGGGCTGAGGAAAGGACAATAAAAGAACAAGATTCAGGAAAACAGAAGATAGCAATTCGCATTGCATTTAAATTGTTGAAGATTGTAGGTGGCAGGGAAGCAAGAAATCAGAAGGGAGTTCCACAGGTGAGAAGTGCAAGAAAAGAAACTATTAGAATAGAACTGACGGTTGCATCTAAATATTTCAACAGTAAAATGGTGAGACGTTTTGCTAATCTAGTAGCCCTATTTAAATCAATATAATTGAGGCGGGGGGGGGGGCTCATCAGAACAGTTAACTCTCTACATTGAGTGGTTCTCAAGCAAACCTTTGAATTTGTATTGAATTTTTAGTATTAAAAAGAAAATTATAATAGTCAACAGCTGTTGAATAGCAAAGAATATTTCCCACCCAAGCTGAAATAATTCAGTGATGCTTTAAAAATCCAAATTGATGAATAATTTATATTATGCATGATTACTAGTTTTTTTATATACAGCATCAACATTTTAGTCATTTATTTTTTAAATTAAATGGAGATGATTATTGAGTAATCTTAGCTGAGAGTTAAAAAGCAGAGCAGACAGGGTTCTCTGGTCATGGTTGGCAACCAGTCTAGGAGTAGGAAGAGTTTGAATTCAAAACCACTCAGCCACCTGAGGCTGTACAAAAGATGGTTAGACACGGGATGTAGATATTATGTCTGTAAAGTAAAACAATAGATATCAATATCTATGGATGATTCCACTGACACCAGCATTGGGAGGTTATAATGATATTAATTAAAGGTAAAAAAACATTAAGGTAGAACTTACTCTCTCATTATGACAGGCTTATGACAAAACTTTTACTCAGGATGACTTGTGAAAAAAACTTTTCTTTCTTTCTTTCTTTTTTTTTTTTTTTTTTTTTTTTTTTTAAAGAAATTTTACTCGAGGCTCAAGAGCCACTGAAGGGAGAGAATTGTAATCAACAAATCAGTGGTGATGAATAGGATGTGTTATATAAATCAAAGAGTAGGTGGAAATGGAGAACAGTTGAGTAAGAACAGGACTAGTGCAAGAGTTTTGTGCCCTCACCCTCCCAAATTGATCATATGGGATTCCCCTCTCTACTACATTTCAATTCTCATTAGGTAATATTCATATAAAATACAAATTTTATTGTAACCTGATTATGTACAGTAATGGATCATATGCAATATACGTGGACAATTCAACTATGAAAATTGAAAACAAATACAATGTATCGAACTCAGAAATTATCTGCTCTTTCACCATAACATATCTTTAGGTTTGTCACATTGCCTTCTGCATGCTTATAATTGATACTATTGTGGTCATGTGATCAAAGTTTGAGTTAATTTTTTTTTTTTTTAATCCAATCATCCTATGCTAGGTAGTAAAATCACTAAGACACAAGAGGTTTACTGAATGTGAAGTAATAAAAAAAGAGGGAAACATTATTAAGGAGCGAGAACAATAGAAGAGTAATCAGGAAGATATCGATTGACATTGAATTTAAATTTTTGAAGATAAAAGTTGGCTGGAAAGCATGGAGCAGGAAGAGAGTTCCACAATCGAGAAGTGCAAGAAAAGAAACTGTTAGCATAGAACTTATGGTTACATCTAGCCAATTCATATGAGACCTTTCCACTAATCTAGTTTTGAATTTAGCTTTTCTTCTTGACTGGCTGTCAAGGCAAGTGAGACCAGTTTACCCTGTTATTTAAGTGATATTTGGAAGAAAATGGATTATTCAAGTCTTTTTCCAAAGACATTAGCATGGAGTGAATAAAATAACTGGAATTTGAACTTGGTTTGCAGATTCCATTTTTTGTATCGTTTAACCATTACACTACCCAAACATTATATTTATACATGTGGATTTAATTCTTTTCTCTTTTGTGCAGAGACCGCCCAGCAGCCATTCCAGTAGAAGTGAAGAGTATAGATGACACATCTAACTTTGATGATTTTCCAGAAATTGATCTAAAGTGGCGTAAGTATCAACTTAGATCACTCTCATACAACCATTTATGTGTGTGTGTGTGCGCACACACACACACACACACACACATATATATATATATATATATATATATATATATATATATATATAAAAAAAAAGAAAGTCAGTTTGTTATTCTTCAGGTGGTGGGAGAGTTCAACTTATGTGTGTGGGCATGTGTAATATACTAATGCTTTTATGTACTCTCAAAGTAAAGTTTGTTTAGTTCAAAAGTGCAAACTGTTTTACATATCACGATATCTATCAGGGATGAAATTTAAATTTTTATTATTGCATTATTCCAAAATTTTAACACATCAGCAGATACCTATTAATGTCACCAACTGAGAACAAATAGTTATTAATTAAAAAAATTAGCAATTAATGTATAATATTATTCATAACTACATGTACAAGAAAGTCGTTTTTGATAAAAGTTAAAAAATAACCATAAATATATAAAAAATGTGTATATTGTCAAAAATTCCTTTTTCTAAAATATAGCTATTTGTGCTATGTTATAATGCTTATTACCTAAACAACAATAATAATAATACTGAATAAATTGTTTTTAAACATTAAAGTGTATTTAATCACAACTCTCTAATAGCTGTTATCTGTTAATATCAGTAAGTTCTTGTACACACAAACCTGAGGGAACAAAAACTTGAGTTATCAAGGGGAATTAATGGAAAATGAGATATCCAAAGGCATGGCTCATGGAATTAGAACAATCTAACCCTTTAAAAATAAAGGGTTTGATTTGAAATTCCAACAAATATCACCTAAAGAAGGCTGGAGCATACAACAGTTGAAACATTGTGAATGTGACAGTAAAGATGAGGACAACAGTCTGAACAATGTAAATAGTGTAAATAGTTAAAATACCTTATCTCAGAAATAGAGACAGATCTTGCATAAGGCCAGAATGTACAATGGCCGAAATGTCGTGAATATGGCAATAAAGATGTGGACAACAGTCTGAACAATGTAAATCGTATAAATAGTTACAATACCTTATCTCAGAAATATAGACAGTTATTTAGCTTCATCAGAAATTTTAATCTATATCTTGAACTTGTATGTATTTCTATATCCTCCAAAATAATGACAATTGTTTTTCAGTTTGTTCTGGAACTGATTCTATTTTTATCTTATTTTTCATTGTAGCATCACCACCTCAACAACAGCCTTCACCCCAAGACATTGACAAAGAATCCAAGCACAAGGACTGGGTGTTTATAAACTACACATACAAAAGGTTTGAGGGACTGACACAGAGAGGGTCCCGGCCATCTGCACCCAAGAGCTAAAAATGTGGGGGTTAAAAAAATAAATAAATAAAAATAAAGGGAGTATATATAATATATATATATATATATATATATATATATATAAAATAAAAAAAAACTTTAGAAAATAATTAATTTTTTTTTTTTTTTTTTTTTTAATGCTTACCTTTTAAAGGGTAAAAGAAAGAAAGGAGGAAAAATGTTAAAACAAGCAAGCAGACATTGCACAGGCTTTAAGAGGCTGACTGATGGGCATGTTCTCTGGCGGTCTGTGTCATGTGATGGTGTAAGGGAGATAACTGAAAACAGCAGCAGCAGCATCGTTTCAAGAGGTTTCTCACCTTTGGTTTCGAAAGGCGCAAAAAATTAAATCAGTGACTGTGAAAATGTTTGCCGAATGAAAGGAAAGAAAGAAGAGGAAACAGCAGTTAGGCACCATAATGCCAGTGTAGAGAAGATTGTTTATGGAAAGCTGCAATGAATGTCATAATTTTCAAAATTAAATCCAAAGGAGGTGGGCAGGCATTTACTATTTTATTTAAAAACAAAACAAAAACGTTCATTATTACTGTTGGTCAGTCGATCAAAGAAAATGACGCAAGTTAGTGAATACAAAGCGTTTTTTTATCAGTACACATTTACTCAGATAAATACACATTTACTGTGATTTGAGACACACAGACATACACTTTTATTAGACGAGAGAAAGCAATTTGTGTTTTCTTTTCACTGTTCCTTTGCTTTCTCTGTTATCTGCTTTTATTTCTTTACACAGAATTTTTGTTGTCTTATCTCTCTTCTACTCCTCTCTCTCTGCTTTTTTACCACATAAAAAAAATACTCCCTACACACGCATACACATGTCCCCACCCCACCAATTAAGTAGAGGATAAAAAAAAGTTGGTGAAGGCTCTTTTTATTAAAATAATAATAAAAAAAAATGAAGGACAATAATGAACCAACTTCTAAAAGTACATATCCCATGATATGCAACGTTCTCTCATTTGTTGGGGGTGGAGATTTACAGCTATTCCTATAATTTAACCCCTGCCCTTGCTTTAGAAGTGAGTAGAAACAAAATAAGTTTTTTATATATTAAATCCATTAGAAAAAATTTCTGAAGCATAATTTCCTATTATATATATATATATATATATATATATATATATATATATATATATATATATATATATACACACATTTTTTTCTTTTAATAAAAACTATGTAATGTTAATATATTATAAGCTTTTAATATAATAACACATTTATATAATAAATTATTAAAGTAAAAGGACATATTCATTTTAAAAGAAAAAAAAAAGAAAGCTTTTTTTAATCCTAATTTTTATGTAATTAAACTAGGAAGCCATTAATTGGAATGATTTAATTTTTTTTTCTGGGGAGGACTCAGGGTATTTATAATTCCTTCTCATCATTAAAGGACTTGCTTTTGGTAAACATAAAGAAAATTATTATTATTATAGCAACAACAATGCTGTTTATGTAATTGACAAAGATGTTGATGTTTAAAAGGAATTCCAAAACTAGGCTGCCAAACATTGAAAAGGATTTTTCAAGAAAATCAGGAAACCGATTCTATATAGTCTGATAAATATGTTTAACTTTCCATACTCCTAACTTGTCCCACAGACTTCTAATTTTTTTTTTTTTTTTTTTTTTTTTTTTTTTTTTTCCACATTTTTTTCTTTTTAAATCGGTCTTGGTCCTCATGATTCTAGAATGTAAATTTGGTCATCGCAAGAATCATTGTAATATTTATTAAAATCGTTTTTCTGTATTTGCACTTTTGGTTTTTATTCTTATTTTTACACCCCCACCCCACAAAAAATGTATTTGACAATTTTTTTTTTCTTATGGAGTGTGGGGATAGTTGAGAGTAAGGGGGTGCTTCCAGGGAAAATTGAATTTCTTCTCTTCCTTTTTCTTCTATTGTTGCTGCTGCTGCTGCTGCTGTTGCCTTAGTCTTTTGTTTTTGTTTTTTGGGTTTTTTTTCTCATCAAACTGGTTGTTTAAAACAAACAAATGCGTCCTCTTGTCAATATCTTTTAAGAAGAAGAAAAAAATTCAACAAAAATATTTGGCTTAAATACTATAGAAATTCTGCATGTCCAATTTCACTGTTTTTTTAGTCTTTTATTTTTTTTAAATTATTTTTTTTTTTTGTTTGCTAGCCAAAATGCCATTGCTGAAGTTATGGTCTCTTGCTATCTTCAGTATATTTTTTTTGGTATGTATTAATATACATGCGTGCATATAGGACCTTACATACACACGTTGGGGAATACATCTGACTACTAAGCAGCTAACAAGTTTGAAACCCGTATGAAAGGGTGAATGAACAAATGAAAAATGTAAAGAAGAAATTGAATGAATGTCCAGGAAAAAAAAGAAAAAAAAAGAAAAATAATAATAATTATAAAAAAAAAAAAGCAGGTGCAAATGTCTCAGTTTTCCATCTTGTTCAAGTTTCAACTGCCTATTTAATGTTATAAAAAGGGTGATTGGCTTTTTTTTTTTAATATTTCTTTGTTGAATAAATATAAATGAATTTCATTGCCAGAAATGTTTTGTTATTTGATGATTTTTTTTATTTTTTTTTTTTTAGTTTGTGCTTTTCTTTTTAGTTTCTTGTTTTAACGCCTTTAAATAGAAAGAACTTTTGTTTTTTGGCTTGTATAGACATGATGGCAGGATTAAGCAGGATGTTTAAAACTATTATCTACAACTTTATAAAATGAATTTGGACCTTCAAAAAAAAATATATGAGTATTGAAAAGAAAATATAACTGTACTCTCGTTTGCATTTTCTTGTAAAAGTGAATTTGTACTATCTCCCCCTTAAAAAAAAGATGTTTCTACTGACTACATTTTCTTCTTCATTGTTTCTTTGGTCAACACACACACACATTATATATATATATATATATATATATATATATATATATATATATATAAAAATAAATGTTTTTTATAGTACAAAATTTAACAATAGCTAGAAAAAAGAATTTATATGGCATTTTTTTTTAAAAAGAACAACCGGTTTCATCCTAGGACTTATCAAGTTTATTTTTCTGAGATGTAAAAGATATATTAGCGTGTAAAATAAATTAATGAATGGGAGGGGTGGTGGGTAATATGAATTTCAAGAAACTAGTGTCCAATAACATTCAGACCCAGTAAGGATTCCCTCTGTTTGCAAAAGGAAGGCCCACATGATCTGATATACAAGGAGGTGATATGAGGAGTGGGACCTAGATAAAATCGAAAAACGGTCACCACTAAAATCAACCACACAATTCTTGCTATTTATTACATGCTCAGCAATAGCAGAGCCAGAAGTATTGGTTAGTTGGCTTTTCCTGGCATCTGGATTCAAAATCCTGTGGCGTAAGTGTTGTTTCATTCTCAAATATATATATATATAAAACGTGTGTGTGTGTATATATATATATATATATATATATATATATATATATATATAAAATAGAGAGAGAGAATTAATACAAGTAAAAGGTTTGTAACTTACCTTATTGATGTTAACTTCAGCATCCCATCTCCAGAGTTTCATAGACGGACCCTCCAGGAATCACTCTCTCCACTCAACAGGTGGTATCAGCAATAGAGAATGGTTGTTCAAAAAGTTCTAAGCCTCACTTGGGAGGAGTTAGAGAAACATTTCACTATTTTTCAATATAGTCCCCTTGACATCAATGCACTTGGTCCAATGATGCTTAAGGATTGCAATCTCATTACAAAAGAAGATGGCATTCTGATCCTTCAAAAATTCCCCCACAGCACATGATCTCATCATTGTTTCCAAAATGGTGACCATTTATGTGGAATTTGGTTTTAGGAAAGAGAAAGAAGTCAGATGGAGCTAAGACTGGTTAGTAAGAAGGATGGTTTGGCAATTCAAAGCCACATATGGCTGTTTCAGCTGCTGCAACCTGAAGCAAGAGCGCACCTGCCCTCAGCTTCAATCTGTGTTTTGACTTGATTGCTTCCTTCATTTGTCTTAATGTTGATGCATAGTACTGTTCATTAATAATTTTTCCTTTTCCAGGTAATCTATCATGATTATGCTTTCAGAATAAAAAAAAAAACAAAAACAAACCTCACCTTACCAACAGGTGCTGCCTGCTTAAACTTCTTGGAGAACCTGAATATTTCCACTCTTTGTTTTGAATCTTTGATTCAGGTTCAAAGTGGTGACGTTAGGTTTCATCTTAAGTTACTATTCTGTGATGGAAATTTTCAGGGTCAGCCTGGAATTGAGTCAGAAATGTCCTGGAAATGTCAACACTTTTCAGCTTCTGTTCTTGTATCACCATTCTTGGAACCCATCATGCAAACAGCTTGTTCATCACTAAGATTTCAGTTAAAATGGTGTGGACTGAACCAGAACTAATGCCTATGGACTTAACTATCTGCTGGACAATAAGATGTCTGTCAGTCAAAACAAATGGTGAATGGCATCAACCTGTTCATCAGTGGTTGAGGTTTTTTGATTCATCTTCTGTGCTGTCCTTACTTGAATTATGCAGCACACTTCTTCACAGTTGCATAGGAAAGGGAGTCCCCAGCAACTGTCTGTACCATGTCCTCATGGATTTCTTTGGATGTTATACCTTTTTTTTTTTTTTTTTTTTTTTTTTCGGATATTTTAGAACTGCTCAGGCCTCTGTTTTGTTCATTTTTAGATTTGTGGCACACTTCTTGTCTTTGTATGGGACTCACCTACACAGAAATTAAGACAGAAATCTGAATTAGTTTTTCTACTTTTATAAGAAGCAATAGTGTTCAGCTATGGCTCTTCTTTCTGGATGAGGCTTAGAATGTTTTGAATGACACACATATTCACACACATACACAATTTTTTTTAATTTAGCATATTTAGATTTTGTAAAAGAATTTTATAATCAAAACAACCATACTCTCACTAAAATTGTATCCATGACTTTATGAATTTTAGAATCCATACAATATTTGTATACCATGGC